GGGTCTGGCCTGCGGGAGGAAGCGGATGGGCTGGAGCTGAGGCTGCGCGTCACACAACACAGCAAAGCACAGTTTCCTTGCATCACTGCCTGTCCGTGAGCAGACTGCTGATACATTCATGGAGCATCAACATCCAGTTCAACATGAAGAAATACCACCAGGACTTAGACGAATGACGCACCCGGATGATGGTTGCCGCGTCGGAGAGGTACTGTTGTCTTGGGCTGCAGAAGAGTTCTCCCTTGACTGACAGGTAGCCGGGGAAGGGGCTGCTGCACCTGCGGATCCTGAAGTGCAGGACTCCTCCTCAGGCAGACTGCTGATCACCGCCTCTATGAGCTGTGCATTGCTGACTAAGGCGTCCAGATCAACAGCCCCCTCCAGAACGATGTACTCCTGCGGGCTGCCCGTCTGCAAGTGAGGAGGCCGGCCCACCCTAAGCCGAAAGCCCAGAGCTTCCAGCAACTCGCGGAACAGCGGGCTCACGTTAAGCACCCTTTCCCTTACGGGCGAGCCGCCGTGTGCCTTCACCCATTTGAACTTCGGTAGATTCGGGTCCTGGTTCCGGGCTGCTTCGACAATACTGAAGGAGCACAAACATACACATCGGGTGGTATTAAGCACACAGCAAGGGGAGCAGACAACCGAGAGGTCTCTGCAGCTGGTTTTCAGTTCGTGTTCCTTACTTGTTCACGATCTTCAGCACGAGTTCGTACGCCCGTTTCTTCGCAGCAGCGCCGATGGGAGCATCGGCGATGCTGCTCAAGATATTCTCCATCCTTAAAAGGATATCATAGTGAAGAAGCGAGATATTCTCCAGAAGCAGAAGCAACAGCTGCGTTCATCACCGCCTGTTCGGCCGTCACAGCGCGGCGAGACCGCAGACTCGCAGAGTCCGCCAGGTGAAGACAGAATCCTCAGCGACGCATCCCTCTTGAACAAATGATATACAGCTTTTGAGTTCACCAATGGTTTTTACTTTCTATCTCTGTAAGCAGCCAATCCACGTCGCCGGTGCAGCCTGCACTGGTTTTTGAACCGCCCAGCGCTGCATGCGTTTGCTAGTGGTTTCCACCGCTGGTAGCTCTCTATGCCTAGAATATAACTGTTTAAAATATACAATTTAATAACATACTATATAATTCAAGCGCTTGCTGCCACTGCATTTTTCGGATTTTCCATCCGATCGAGCCGTGCAGCGCTCGTTGGTCTTTGGGCTGGAACGGTAGGGCGCTCCAGCTTAATCCCTTGGTAATAAATTCGGGGTATTGATGTGCACTACATTGGTTTATAGAAATGTATGATATGTACATCGGCATAAATATGTGTCCCGTATTAACTTTACCGTTGCAAGCATCTTGCATTTTGCCGCAAGAAGTCAGGCTTTGCAGTAACGCAGTAACGCTGCCTCCACAGGGATGAATTGCGACGACGGAGACGTATTGGCCCGAAACAAACTTAAATAGTGATTCGGGTTAATTCATGTGCACTGAGAGTTTCCTTGTTGTTTCTGTTGTTTTTCGGTCATGCATTTGCCCTAAATTTGAAAACAGAGTGAATTGAGGCTACTCAAAGGAGTACTAAAGCATCATACAGAACACCCTAAGCCCGCCTATTTGCAGCGTCTGAGCGTTCAACTTTAGTCTTCTGGGACAGGATCGTGAAGTTCAGTCCTCCCCATGCCCCAAGGGAGGGCCGACTGTTCTTGCAGGCGTGTGCAGGGGCGTCTGCAGGACTTGGCAGTAAAGCGTTTCATGCTTTATCGGTTGTTAGGTGTAGACACGGCATTACATACTGCATACGCGTTACACACAAACTGTTGATTCTCATCCGGGCAGCGCCGGTTAGGACGCCCGTGTCGGCCGCCCTAGGCTCCTGTATGCTTTGCATTCTGCATCGCATCAGGCGTGAACGCCCATTGAACACACAGGGAAAGTCGAGAAGCGTCGGAAGGTATACTTATGCCATGAGATGCCATGGAGAATCATCTAGCCACGAACAGCAGACGCTGCTTTGGGGCAGGTTATTGTTCAGGGTTTAGCGCTGACACCGCAAGGCAGTGTG